TTGTAACACTTGGTGTGTGATAGGTACCATTCTAAACGTGTGTATATTGCTCTATATATAATTTGAAGGATTAAAATATGTATTGATTTCATTCTTATAAAAGTCCTAAGAGGTACTGTTACTGCCTTTATTTGTTGGATAATGAAAGTGAGGCACAGGGAAGGCTGGTACAGACTGTTAAAGTTCTAAGTGTGTAGGAAAGTGATTAAAATACACTGAGAGGTGAAATGATGAGAAACACACAATCAGAGCAAGAGAAACCAATACTAAACATCTGCATACATCCCTTCCTAGAACTTCTCTCGACGCGTTCTGAGAACTCCAGAGAGGCTAAACACACTGTTTTCCATTCTCAGCCATCTACCTATGCCACCATGGATTCTCCACAAACACTGCTACATCCTATGTAATTCAAAATGCCATTGTGAACTAATCCCTATTGTAAGACATTCAGGCTGCTCCATGACTTTTTCTTAAAGACATTTGTGCGCTTCACTTTTTATTTTATTCCATGTGTACGAGTGTTTCCTCTACAGGAACAGCCAGTGTTCTTAACTGCTGAGCCATCTCTCCAGGCTCTTAAAGGCATTTAAGTAAACAACCCATTTACATTGTTTAAAAATAATTAAAAGAATAACATTTATAACAAAAAACTCCCTCCTGATGTTTATTTTTAAAAACCCTTCTAGAGTTGATTTATATACGACATAATATTGCATGTGGATTAACTGCATACCAGTTTTGTACTGATGGACATATGCTGTGTGTTCGTCTTTTCTGTGAAAGCATCTCTGTAGTAAATGCCTAGGATGTATGTCTGTTCATGAAAATGAAATGGACTCTGCAGAGACAACTACAGAAATAGCCTTGCTAGATTACAGCCTCCACACAGTGTTTGCGAGGGCCAGAACAGCACACAGTGTGTTTAGCACAATCTCATAGAGTGGCAACGGCCTCTGCTCACACAGATGTAGGTCTAGGAAATGCCAAAGAGCATCGACACATAGTTTCCTTTAGATCTTCGAACTTTCTAAACTTGATTTAGCATTTCTGTCAAGTATATCTAACATCTGGACTGCCTCAGAAACAATTTCTACTGACAGCTTTTGTTGTTGGTTCGTAAGGGGTACAAAGTCCTCTGTGGTGTCTTGAATTTCTTGTCAAGGCACACACTGAAGATAACACAATATGGCCCCTCTGGAAGTGAGTTCACCATGGCTTGTTGCTGGGGTGGCTCTTCAGTGGTTATTGGTGCTGTTTCTCTAGTGACTTTTCTGGACAAATCCTCTAAAGCACATATTCCTCACAGTGTGTACAGTCTGCTCCACTTAGTGGTCAGGTAAATGGGCCAGGGGTTTCCTAAAATGTCTGACACCAACAGGTTTTCCATCCTTTGCTGAGAGGCTCAGAGAGTGACTGGCTGAAACCTTCAATAACCAGGCAGTTTGTGTCTGTCTTAGCCTTCACTTCTTACAAGAGACCTCAAGGTCAGTCAGAGATGACAGGCAAGGGCTTCCGTGTCTTTCCTGGGCTGCCTAGAGTCGTGTACATGTGCATGACTTCTAGGTCCAAGAGCCTTTCAAAGCACGCTGTGGAGTTGGGGGATTGAGGGGGGTGGGAAGTCAGAGGGATGAGAATCGGTCAAACAAAAACACTACACACACTGCTGCCCTTGCCAACAGAGGCACTCTGCTAAGCCCTTCGTTTCATAATCTTTAACAACCCAATAAAGTTAGAACTGTTATCACCCTATCCTACAGAGAAGAAAACTGAGACGTAAAGAAACTAAAACAGCACGCCCCAGGTGTCCAGTATGTGACAATGTTGATTTGTGAACCAAAATCTGTCTGATCCTGGAGTTTAGGCTCAGATACAGTTCAACACGCTAGCATTCATTTCTGAAAAGATCATTCAGCGAAAGTACATTGAATCAAAAGTGCAGCTGAGCTGGGATTATCCCAGCACTCAGGAAGCTGAGGAAGGAGCAAAGAGAATCCCAGGCCAAACCCCTAAAAATCCATAAAAGTAGGACTGGATCACCTAGTTCATAACCTAATTTCTGTACAAGTGTTTATACAGAAAGACACTTAGAGAAAATAGCCTAGGGAAAAGGGACACTAAAGAGAGGGACAGATTTGGGTTTAAATCGTTTGTCTCGCTTGCTGCACTTATGGACCAAGGAAAATTAGGATTTGATAGTTTCATCTATAAAATGGAAGGCTGGGGTTGTAGGTGAAGAACAGTGGTTCAGCGTGTGCTTAGCATGTGCAAGGCCTTAGGTTTAATACCAGCAACAAAAAAGAACCTACTGCAGGTAACATGCTGGACTGTGGTAGGCAAATGGTAATCATTATAATTATTTTCAAACTGACAAGGAAGATTTAGAAATTCAGCAAGAGTACAGAAAAATCAACTCTTCACAAAGTATCCTGTGTGAGGCCACCTGAGAGGCACTCTTTCAAGAGTTCATTACCTATGGAGAAGGACATTCCCTCTAAAAAAAGAAAAAAAAAAGTGTTGTGAGAATTAACACAGAGACACAGATTAAAATCTCACACGAGAATGGAGGAAGAGAGAGCTAAGGGCAGTTACTACATGCAATGTGAGCCGTGCCCTGAACACAGCACAGTCCGAACTGCTCTTTGGACTGTATTCTAGATCCAAGCTTCTTAAACCACAGAGCGTGAGTCTATCTGGGTCACAAAACTGAACACAGGGACAGCAAAAAAACAGTAAAAGGTTTCTGAACACAATGACAAAAGGTTTATTTAAAACCAAACTGTGATGAGCCGGGTGTGGTGGCACATGCCTTTAATCTTAGCACTTGGGTCACAGAAGCAAGTGGATATCTGTGAGTTTAAGGCCAGCCTGCTCTACATAGTGAGTTCCAGGCCAGTTGGGGCTGCAGGGAGACCCTATCTCAAAAAGACAAAGAAGAAAAAAAAAAAAAAAACCAAAAGCCACGAGAAGCATGGCTCACTCATTCTGTGTTATACAATCTCATGCAGCCTCGGTTCCAAGCACTCAGCCTGCACCCTACACTCCGCACTGCATATGCCTGCTCACAGCACAATGCCAGAAGACACTGCCGCAAACACTCTGGTTCAGAATTGAGACTGCTGTGTCATGAACTGCAGTGCTTTCACTGTATATAGACGCTTCTCTACTCTAGAAAGAAAAATGGTTTAATTACGGAAAACAACCTTGTAATGTTTTTCTACTATCATTCCTCTGCATGCAAATGTCAAATTAGTGTCTTTGGATTACATTGTGTTAGATGCTTGATTTTTTTTTAATGTTTCATTTATAATTTTTTTATTTTATGTGTATGCGTGTATTGCCTGCACGTAAGTAAGTGTACCTGCGTGCATTACCTGTGGAGGAGAGAAGAGACTGTTGGATCCCTTGGAACTGGAGTTACGGACAGTTGTTAGCTGCCATGTGGGTGCTGGGATTCGAACCCAGGTCTTCTGCAAAAGTCAGTGTTCTTATCCACTGAGCCATCTCTCCATCCCCAGAATACTTGAGTTTTGAAACTGCTTTTTAAGTTTCATTTTAAAAAAAAATTGTTCACATTACCATTGAAATCTACCCAATGACTTTATAGACATACACAGGCGCCAAGGATCTGAGTGCATCTGATTATAACTAGTAATAATCAGATACATACAGATTAGAGATGCAGGCACCAACATCTCAGTGTTAGTAGCAAAAACAATGAGTCTTTCTATAAGAAACAGTATATTTTAAAATGAAATGGCGATCTCTTTTAAAGGTTAAAACATTCAATTTTATGTCTTATAGGGCTTATACTGAGTACAATACGGTATAACTGTAATAATTCATCTGTAAACCTAGAAATGTACAGCCAATTTTGAAAGAGATGTACCCTAGCTCAGAAAAATGTTATTGAATAGGTTAA